TTGTCGTAACCTCGGGTCCTTCTAAGAGCAAGTGTACACCTACCTCAGGCGAATTGAGCTGATTGATTTTACAATCGTTCTAGCTGCCACCTAGACCGCCTCCCATTGTCGGGAAACCTGGCTCAAGACTCCCATCCTTCGACGAACGTCCAGCAGAACCGAGGTGCGTATTGGTCCCCTATGAATGGGGCTGTATGTCGACTCAATTGACCTAGGCGGCTAGGCCTGACCTCTGAGCATGTGCTTCCGCACTCTCGTTTGGTGCCTAAAATAGCTTCGAGAATAATGACTTCAGAGGCGTGAAGATGGCAAGCTTAAGAATAGCGTGAACTGAGGAACCGCCTCAGCTTCTTCTTCTATGCTGGTTCCTGGGCTCGCCAAGCACCCTACTGTAGAAGTTGACTGGAGCTTGCTCCGACTCGTCGGTGGCGCGTATTATCCGTCTATGGACTATGTAGCTCAGGGATGCATTACCCCCGATCTTTCACCTTGGTTGCCGTGCCGCCTGTGTATTCGCGAGTGTTGGCGTACCCTGTCGGGATTACGCAAGGCCAACGAGATGGAGAGGCCGAATATAACCTCTGGTCGAAGAAGGAAGTCTGTTATCGCGTCTCTCTAACAGAGAGGCAAAGCGATTATTCATCTAGAGCATCTGTATCACAGTACGAGGACGCCGGCAATCGCTGTGAGCATTTGGTTCCAGAGTCACTTCGAAAGGAAATACCATCAAACGCGATCGGAAGAAAAAGTCAAAATGTGGGGTTAATATGGAGTTTGCACATGGGTGATGTAGGGTCATCAAGTCTACCTTCTCTCATGATCTCTTTCTTCACACGCAGTTCACACGAGAGCGTATGTTGTGGGCCCCATGACCTTTGCTTCTTTGATGAGGCACGGACCGACCTTTTTGGTAGAGTGTATAAAGCACGGCGCACTATGCTTGGACCCTCCTTAGGTTATCCTCCAGTGCCAAACCTTTGCCATCATGGGGAAAGGAGTACGTTGAGCTCTGAATCTACCACTGCGTCGTCTCTAACACCTCCGTCTAGTATAACGCCCGTATTGCAGCAAATCCCGTGCGCCCCATCCCCATCATGAGACTATCACTTCATCTGACTCTCTTTTTTTGCGCAGTACATCGTAGGTTCGTTCGCATGTATCGGTGGAGGTCTCTTCGGTTTGGACATTTCGTCTATGTCCGGTGTGCTCAGTGTTCGTCCACTGTTCTCAGCACGCGACCGCTTTGTTCTGATTTGCCCTCGCAGAACGACGCATATAAGCGCACATTCTCCCACGTACGTCCTTGAGCGAGATCGCCATCTAATCCCGTTTAACGTGTTCTCTCTAGCCAAGCTCCAATGCGCAGGGTGCTATAGTCGCATCCATGCCTGCCGGATCCCTTGTCGGCGCCCTCATGGTTACCCAACTCGCTGACCGCATTGGCCGCAAGAAAACCATCATCCTCTCCGGTCTCATCTGGGTTATCGGCTCTATCCTGCAATGTGCCTCCGTCGTACGTGATCAATTAACTCCACAGTTTTCCCCACTTCCTCATCGTCATTTCAGAACCGCGGCATGCTCGTTGTCGGCCGTATTATCTCTGGTATCTCAGTCGGTATCGCCTCAGCGGTCGTCCCCATCTACCAATCCGAAATCACTGAACCCGCATTCGTGGCCGTCTCGTCTCCCTCCAACAATGGTCCATCACATGGGGCATCCTGATCCAGTACTTTATTCAATTCGGCTGCTCCTACATCGACGGTGTCGCATCATTCCGTATTCCATGGGGTCTGCAGATGATTCCCGCCTTATTCCTTTCGCTTGGCATGCTCATCTTCCCCGAGTCTCCGCGTTGGTTATTCGACCATGGGCGAGAAGAGGAAGCGCTCGAGATCCTGGCTGATTTACACGGTGGCGGCGATCCGAACAACGACCTTGTCCTTCTCGAGTTTGCGGAGATCAAGGAGCAAGTTCTCTTCGAGCGTACCGAGGGTGCCAAGTCGTACCTCGACCTCCTCAAACCCGGTATGCCTCGTCGTGTGGGTCTCGGTATGGCGCTCCAGATGTGGTCGCAATTGTCGGGTATGAACGTCATGATGTAAGTGGTGCCTCTGTTGGTTGAATTCACGTTTTAACTTTGCTGTACAGGTACTATATTGTGTACGTATTCCAGGGAGCAGGTATTACTGGTCGTCGCGGTAATTTGATCTCTGCCGTACGTTTACCCACCTCTAGATCATCATCCGCTTGCTAACATTATCTCAGTCTGTACAATACGTGCTTAATGTGGCGCTGACCATACCCGCCATCATCTACATCGATAAGTGGGGTCGTCGCCCCATGTTGCTTGTCGGTACTTTGCTTATGGGCTTCTTCCTCTTCCTCGTCGGTGGTCTCCAAGGTGGATATGGACAATGGGGAGTGGTCGATGGCGACCGTATTTGGGTCATCTCAGACAACGACAGCGTCACGAAAGGAGTTATCGTCTGCTCTTATCTCTTCGTGTGCTCTTTCGCCATCACCATGGGGCCGGTGTCGTGGACATACCCTGCCGAACTGGTACGCTCCATTCAAGTCATGTTCCGTGATCACGTATACTGATCAACCGACCCATAGTTCCCTCTCAAAGTCCGCGCGAAGGCTGTCTCGATATCCACCGCGACCAACTGGGTGTTCAACTTTGCCCTCGCATGGGCCGTGCCGCCGGGTCTCTCCACCATTGCATGGAAGACCTACCTTATATTCGGAACATTCAACTTTGCCGCGTTCATCCACATCTTTTTCATGTACCCCGAGACCGTTGGTCGCTCGCTGGAGGAGGTGGAGGAAATCTTCAAGCAGGGACATGTTTTCACTGCCTGGAAGATTGGAAAGAGCGTTGGTAAGAAGACATTGCAGGAGGTTGTCGATAAAACGAAGGAGCTTGAGGGAGGCAAGTCCTCGATGAGCGACCACGACGAGAAGGCGTAGGATAAGTATATCAATTTGTTTTCGCGATCCTCCTACTGCCAACTTCTTTACGCCTTTTATGTTTGTATGTCTTTTTGTACCACAACCTAGTCTTTATCGTGGCAATTTGTTTACTCTTGCGGAATGTAAGGCGTACATGTCTCGTACACAATTGTATACCGTTGATGTGCCATCCACTTGAGGACATCCAAATTGGTAAAGTGCCGACGGCAAAACAGAACCGCCTCCACTTCTCCGCTGTCCAATTCGGATACCACCGACCTTTCCGGTCGCTCGCCCACGATTAGCACGACTACGCTACTCAGAGATTTATCGGAGACGCGTACAGCGCCCACAAAGATAAAGTACAGACACACCGACTTTGTATTTGGCCGTGTTCTTGGAGCTGGGTCGTCTGGACAGGTTCACATTGGTGAGTGTTTTAGTCCTCGGCCGTATTGTTGTCCTTCGCATCCTTGTCATCGCTGTCCTCGTTTATCTTTATCATGTATCTCCGCGCTAACCTACTTTCAGTGCGGTCCGCATACGACAATACCCGATACTTTGCAATCAAGGCCATCAACAAAGCCACAGTCATCCGGCGAAATTCTACTAAAAGAGAGGCCGACATCCTCTCCTCCTTGCAACAAACGCGATATTGTCCCTTCATCATCACATTCTGGGGCACATTCCACGACTCGCGAAACGTCTATATGATAATGGAATTCGCGCACGGTGGTGATCTGTTCTCACTCCTGAGGAGATTCAAGGTACGCATTCAAGGTCTATTTAAAATTACGAGAGTTTAACAGGATGTTCATCGACAGCGCTTCCGCGAAAGAGAGGCAAGGTTTTACATTGCAGAGGTCTTCCTAGCATTGGACTTTCTCCATGAAAGAGACATCGTGCACAGGGATCTGAAACCCGAAAACATCCTGGTCTGTAAGGATGGACACATAAAACTAACCGACTTTGGGTTCGCCAAAAAGTGCTCTTCCACGTCAACGATTTGTGGAACTCCTGATTACACTGCGCCCGAGGTGAGGCCTGCTCATTCCACTCGTGTCCTTCATCCTCCATTTCATATGCAATCTCCGTCGATGTTAACTACGTCTCTGCAGATTATTCTCAAGGCAGTCTATACGCGGGCAGTGGACTACTACGCCCTTGGTGTCATCACATACGAGCTCCTGAACGGGAAACCACCCTTCGACACGCCATCCCGAGGCCCCGTTCTCACTAAAGAGACAATAACCGTCCTTTACAACAAAACTCTCGCTGGTCGGATCTCCTGGCCACGACCGCACATTATCCCTAACGACGCTCGTCGCTTTATCACTGCCCTCCTGTGGCATGATCCTGACGTGCGGTTGGGGTGCAATGGACCCTTTGACGTCTATGATCATTCTTGGTTTTCGGAGACGGATTGGTGTCAGATGTGGGAGAAGGAAGTTAGGCCGCCGATTATGCCGAAGGTACGCGATGCGAGAGAGTGAGTGCTGAGGCTTCATTTACGACTGGATACTGATTGGAGACGTAGGATATTCGCGGGAGAGTGCGTTGATGCGGACGAGCAGCCGTCCCAGTCGTTCGAGGATTTGTTTCATGATTTTGAGTATATAGGACCTGATATGCATGAGGGCCAGGCATGATCTTTCATCATCGTTGGTACTATCATTATCACTTACCATCTCACATATACCAGCATTCGGACACATGTTATCTCACTGTAATTTGTATGCACAGACTTGTCAGTCAGTTTTTGATTTCTGATGCACCTGGATGCAGAACAACAACACCGTGCTCTAATTGTAAGGTCTTATTCCTTTGTTCTTTTTGTCTTTTCGAGTATATATAGTCCAGCGTCGATTCCCTCGACCCCATTCCATCCCGACTCTTCTCCTCGTGATGCTCGCCGTGCCCAAATGCGCTTGGAAGCCAAAGTTCTCTTCTTGCGTTGTTGCTTAGCTCTCCCGCCTGATAATGCTCCACCTTCAACGACAAATACACTTGCCCGCGGCCCGCCACACAGTCACATCATTGAGTACTGCGGCGCTATAGCCAAGTGGTTACGGCGACAGATTAGAATAGTGAATTCACGCATTCCTGTTATCTGTTCCTCTTTGAGGGCGCAGGTTCAAATCCTGCTGGCGTCGATATTGAGGGTCTGCAAAAAGTTTTTCCTGAGTAGGGAGACTAATGTCCTTTGCTCTTTTGCAGAACCGATTGTGTTTGGAAAATTTTACAAATTCATCCCGCGCACACTTCCCTCGAGCCGTCGTGGATTCTAGACGTCCCATGCCTCTCGTCGGAAGATGACAGCAAAGACGCGCTAAACTTTCGTCCTCCTTTGGAACTAGTAGCTACCGACCCCTCTCCTTCTCCAGTGAGCGACGACCATCTTCTTCTTCCTACTCTCCGACCGACGAAAGTAGGAGCGATCGTCCTCACCAAACGTGACGACTCGTGCGTTGATAGCTCATGGCCCTCGTCCACGGCTTCTTCATCGTCATCAACCAGGCGCAGCGCGGAACGCCCGTTGAAAACGCTTTCTCTCTCCGCTTTCGTCTATTATCCTTGTATATCGTTCAGGAAGACGTCAGCACATTTAAAACAGGCAACTTGAATGAATGCTGTTTATCCATTAAAAAGTGTCGCCGCTCTTAGACAAACAAGTACCGCGCGGAAGGATACTAGAACTTTCATGATACGACGGTGGGTTCTTCGCGAGCGATACTCGAATGAAGCTGAACCCTCAACCGCTCCAACCAATCCTTCGTCTCTTAACAACTTCATCTGGCACATCTCCCCGAAGCCGACATGCTGTTGATAATCGCCGCGGACAACTTTTCCGCCTGACCGCCGTGCAGCTCATTCTCCAGCGTGGTCGGTGGAACGCTGCAAGAGATTGTAGTAAGTTCGAGTTTCTGGAATCAAGCGCACTGATCTACTTGGTACGCGACCTCAAAGTAGCCCTGACTTTATTATAATAGCCATGATGTGCGGCTCTTCCTTGTAACACGTCAGGTAAGAATCTGGTACCGTTTTCCATGGTGGGAGTGATTGTCGTATTTCGTTTAACCCTGACGTATCGGAAGCGGCGGAGCCATTGGTCTCTTTCTCGTAAAAGTCGGGGTTGCTCGAGTAGACACGTTTTGTTTCTAGCTCGACGATCTTCTTGAGGATAACACTGGCGCCCTCTGATTCCATCTCGTCTGTGACGATTGCACTGCGTAGGAGCGTCAGCAAAACCTTGTACAAGATTCTAGACGCACCAGACGCACCGTACACGAACTTCCAAGGGCTCGACGAGACACAGGACATGGTGCAGAGAATTATCGAATATCGCATCGAAGCAGAGAGTCGTCGGATTGGCCCAGTTTTTCGTAAAACCCGAAAGGAGGTCGCAGAGATTCCACCAGGAAGCCCCCATGTATTGTTCCTATACAAAAGCAACGTCAACACAACGAGAGCAATATGACAATTGCCACAATACACACCGTTTAATTGCTTTCTTCACTATCCAACAAATACCCGGACGCCCTCCATACTACACTCCGGCTTCGTATCCGGTTTGGTTAGAACGCTTATAAGACGACACCGTTGTACCCCATTGAACACAACTATCGGCTATGAACCGATGCTGGAGCAGTCAACTACTTGAATCTACGCACGCCTCGTACGAAACTACGAAAAGGAAGTGTAAGCCACAACCGACACGATCATGTAGCGGCAATCTGTACACAACGCGTTTCTTGCCACATCATGATTTCCTATGTCTCCAGGAGCCTAGTAGCGTCGTTGTATCAAGCAAGTCATCCATCGCCGCCTCCAGTCCTCCCCTCCTCGGCCTCCCCTCCTCACCACCGCCGCCACTCATCATCTTCCTTTCCCTCATCTTCTTCACCGGGCCCACCTGAATCGGCTCCCACTCACTCTCCCCACCCACCCCTTTCCCATCTGGCAACACATTCCTCGAATACTCCGCCTCCACCGCACTCCTCCCCCCCGTGACAAGCCTCCGCGCGTCCTCCGTGGACCGCATGAGAATGTATCCCGTTCCCGGCACCTTTAAAAACTTTACATGCATCACACTGCCGTCCCGCGGCAGCGCGCTGGTCAGCGCCTCGAGGCTGTCATGCCAATTCCGAAACACCAGCCGCCGATTCGGCGTCAAGTTCTTTTCTCTCGGCTTTTGCGGGGCGCCTTGGTAATCGACATAGAGCCGATGGCTGCGCGCCGACGTTGCCGAGCCGAGAGGGAGGGTGAGCTGGTTCACGTCGAACCGCTGGTAACTCGATGGGACGCGAGCCGAGTCGGCGGGAGCGGGTACGAGGTTGAGTGTGGCCCCGTGGATCTTGGCGCTCTCGTATAAGCGCAGCGAGTCTACGAAATTGACGAACTGGACGTGTGCGAAGCCGGGTTTGGTGGGGGAGGCGGCGGGGACGAAGGAGAGGCGCTGGATGGGGCCGTACGAGGTGGTCCAGGCGCGGAGGAGGGTGCTCAGCGCATGGGTGGAGGGGGTGGGGATGAAGGGTATCGAGCCTAAGAAGAGTGTATCGGTGGATCGTGATGCAGGGCGGATGTCTGTAACGTGTGGACGGGCGTATTCCACAGTGAGCGGCTCGCCGTCGAGCGAGAGAGCGTTTTGCTGGTGTTCCATAAGAGCGGCTGTAGCGGCTGCTGCAGATTCGAATTTGACGAAGAGGTAATCATGGCTGAGGTCATTCCGGAATGCTATCATGTGTTTAGAGCCCTGCATGTGCTGCGATAGACAACGTACGTTTTCTCGCTGAGACTATTCCTTTTAGATTCCTGAACGCAGGAGACGCGAGCACCTCCTGCGAGGAAACATCCTGGGGAATGCCGCGCACGTGTAGGATATTATTCTCTTCTCCCAACCTCGATTCCTGATGCTTCATAAGGGAAAAGACGCGTCCTGTCGAGTACAGCCTCCCGGCCGTCCAAGTATCGCTGCCAACATGATATGATGACCGCCTTGAGGCAAGGCGTCGGCCCGAACATCCCGCCAACCACTTGTGAAGTAAACATCTACAAATACCGCGCACGTTTTTACCCCCACGACACGACACGACATGAACGCCCTCGCGCCTTACATCGCGGCCGCCAAACCCTACGTGGACCTCACCCAGCCGTCCTTCTGGCTCAGCATTGCCTCTATCACGTTCAACCCCACCGCATGGAATATCGTCGCCCGGAATGGTGCGTGCCTTTCTCCCTTATACCCTTCGAGCGCTAATGATTTGCATAGAATACCATAACAAAACCATAACTCGTCTCTTTGGCTCACAAAAAGCCGGCTGCTATTTCCTTGCCTTCATGATATTCTCCTTTGGCATGCTCCGCGACAACCTCTTTCATGACGCCCTCGCCTCTCAGCCCGCTTCTCTTCCCCCTCTCGCGAAGCCATTCGACACGTACCTGCCGATAGCGCTCGTGGCGAGTGGTCAGATTTTGGTTGTGACCTCGACGTGGGCGCTGGGTATCACGGGGACGTTTCTCGGGGACTACTTTGGTATTTTGATGGACGCGCGTGTCGAGGGGTGAGTCGCTCCCTCATCTCTCTCTATAACTCCAACTAAATAACACGTAGATTCCCATTCAACATCCTGACAAACCCTATGTATGTCGGCTCCACCATGTGCTTTCTCGGTGTCTCCCTATGGTTCCAATCCATCGCTGGGTTGGTTATCACGGCGTATGTGTATGTCGTTTATGTCGTGGCGTTGAGGTTCGAGGGCCCGTTTACGGATATGATTTACGCGAAGAGGGAGGAAGAGAGGGCTGCGAAGAAGCAGTAGATTTTGAGGAGCGGAGGAGGTGCCAAAAATTATTGATTCTTACGACTCTGATGGTTAATACCTAGAATAGAGGTAGACTGGGTTCAACTAATCTTGATGCGACGTGTTTTCCGCCTCTTGACTAGCCCGAGCGCACCACATCGGGTCACCTTCTTTTCGTCAATAAAACCAGCGCCTCGTCCGTTGTCCAGCTCAGTTATATATACCTCACCGATGAGACCCGACCTACCTTTGGGTAAAGGCAAAAACGTTCCAAGTGTGCTTAGTCTCTTTGTACTTCAACTTGTAAGTACCCACAAGCACTCTCCAAATCCCATCCACACAAGCATCAAGATAATAGGGGTAGCGGGCCTTGCCGTTAAACGGCGTTACCCGCGTTATAATGCCGGTGGCTCCAAGGTGACATACCTAATCATGTCCTGGTCATGTCCATGATGATGTTCGCCAATCTCGTTCGCGCCAATGCGCGCGCCCTGGCCACTGTCTCGCGCCGCGGCGGCCGCTCTCTGTCGTCGCGTGCGTCGATAGCGCGTTCGACCCTGCTGCACCAGACACGTACGACCCATGCTGCTCGCCGGTGGATGAGCGACGAGTCAAGTGCCCAGCCCCGCAACATTCTGTACCTTGGCAATCTGCCCTCCAACATGGAGGAGGACGACATTCGGAATGAGCTGCAGGAATTTGGCGTCATCACCAACATCCACAAGGGTGCTTTTTTTGGCATCTAGCATTGCGACTGTCCATCGCTTACTCTTTTTTTTCGATTGCAGGCGCCACCGGGGCCGAGGTGACCAGGCGGCTGCGCCATAGTCGAGCCCGGGCGGTGCAGCGACCAAGTGGCTGGGCCATAGTCCGGTTTGAGACGGAAGAAGCAGCAGCAAGTGTAATGCGCGCGCAGCCTTTCACATTCAGCGGACGCACTGCACTCATAGAATGGGCGGAGAAGCAGAGCGTCGCTGCGGTGCGGTCCGAGAAAGTTCCCTCGTTGACGCTTATAGTGGCCAACCTGTCCTACGAGGCCTCTGAGCGGGATGTGTACGAAAGCTTGTCCGGATATGGCCTTCTCAAGCGCGTGACTGTTGGTACGCCTATTTGTCTTTTTCTGGACAGTCTTCTAATGGTCGTTTACAGCACGCACGGAACGCGGCCGGGATGGCACACGCAAGTCCCGTGGCTTTGCCCACGTCGAATTCTTCGACCTGGGCCCTGCTGTGGCGGCGTACGAGGCCAACCTGGCCAGTCCCATCACGATTCAAGGCCGCACTGTGCTCTTGGACTATCATGTTCCCAAGGTCCCTGAACTTGAATCCTCAGGCGGATCTTAGAGGCGTACT